GGAAACCAAAATAATATATTTGAAAAAAAAAAAACTCAAAATAATATGCCTAATTTAGGAAAATAATTATCAGCAGATTGACTTTTAAAGCAAAATCAAATTTTTGTTTATAGAATACGTAGAAATCAAAAAAGCTGACAGGAAAAAATATGCTATAATTATTTCAGGTAATAACGAAAAGATAATAAATTATTAAAATAATTTCATCTGAAATTTCATCGATAATCTCATTCGAGATATTAAAGTTTTTAAGAAAATAATTTCATCTGAAGTTTCAAAAAAGTAGTCTGAGGAATAAATAAATGCAGATTACTTTTTTATAATGAAAATTTGAGCCTCAGTGCAATGTGCATGATGACTTGTTTAGCTGAGCAAACTTTACCACTGCATTTTGTGAGGATTAAGATATGGAGAGAAGGATGAATTAGAGATCGAATGTTTTATCAGCTGATATCTTGAGTCTCTTTCAGAAGTTTGAATACTGATTAGAAGATGGTTTAATTTTTCTTATTCCACTGCTTATTTCATTATCTTCTATCCTGTCATTACTGTTAGTAGAAGATTTATAGAAAGAATAAACATCGTTGTTATGGACGTATGTTAATGTAGAAATACCATTATAAATTCAAAGTAACTCGATGTTAAGCACAATTCTTTCATCAGAGCTTGCAAAAGAATACAAAGAATTCATAGATCATTTGATGTAGACCGTTTGCTTATATTTTTGTGCTATTCAGCAAGATTGAAAGTTATCATGTGGAATTAGATATTATCGAAATAGATATTATCAGTGTGTCTGATATTATCACTGTACTGTAAAGAACGTCATTACATTCTCTGTAAATCTTCTAAATATCCTATGAATGTACAATTTTCATCCCTCATCATCCCATAATAATTCAAGACAAGATTAAATTTACTTCCTTAAATGATTTTCTCTCTTTCATTTTCAGAAAGATTCGCTCATCTCAAAATGATGCACCACAACGCGCTGTTTTTAACAACTATTACTGTATTTTATGTTGGTATGTCACTGTTAGTTTATTTTTAGAGGGTTCATTAGTGCGTTTATCAAATGGTACAGTTCAGTATTAGAAAGGACAGAAAGTTCTGCTTCCTTAATATAATTCTCAGCTTTTCTAAATCGGCTTTTTTCTTTTGCGTTAAAAGTTCTATCCTGAATTTTGATTTTTACCTTATTTGATGAGTACTAAACAATCCACTATAAAAATCATAAGATTATCAGTCATTCTCTCTCTCTCTCTCTCTCTCTCTCTATTAAAATGGTATATATAATTTTCGTTTTCCAATTCTTTTAATTCCAAAATTTTTGTTCTGGAAAAAGATTCTAAATTCCTATATTTTTCCAGCTGCACATAAATTTGGTTATGATGCAGAAGATGGACCGAGCACGTGGCGAGGCGTATGTCAAACTGGGAAGCGTCAGTCACCTGTAGACATTAAAGCATTTGAAATAGAAATTGCACCTTTAGATCCTTTACAATTTCTGAACTACGATCTCACCGGTCATATTCACCTGGCAAATAATGGACATACTGGTAATCCACTGATTAATTCTCTCATTCTTTTTGAGCATTTTTCTTCTCAAAATGTGTAAATTATTTAAAACTGTCCATGTTATCTGAAATCCAAAACATTTTTAAAAAATAAAGGCGCTATACCTAATAAACCATGTGACTAATTTAAATAGCGTCTGTGTGAGAGATATCCTGCGTACATGTAGACAAAAGGAGTGTCTGGAAGGTACGTCAACTGCTTTAAATATGAATTTGAACTCTATGAGGCAAATTGAACATGACAAATAATAGTGGATGCATACAGGAACTTGGAAAAGCGGAATCATTAAACCTGCAGTGTATCCAGAAATTGAGAAAACTATTGGTGCCTTACCTTACTGTATGGCGGTATTATACTCTTAGGTGTACTGACGAGACAATTGATTTAATTTATTACTGCCTTTTCCTAGATTCCTAGTTATTAATATTCTAATTCTTGTATTTAAAATAATATCGATTGGTTTCGGTTGCACTTGGTTAGCATACTTTAGATCCATTACAGTGGTTGGTTCCGGTTTTGAAAGATGGGGTGAGAAGCGACCGTATATTTCTGGTGGCGGTCTTAATGGTACCTACCAACTGTCACAGTTTCACTTTCACTGGTCTCAACAAAATGATACTGGAAGTGAACATACCATTGCTTCATTGCATTATCCTGGCGAAGTAAATGACCTATGATTCATTTAACAATGAATTTATCTAACAATTATATTTAATTTTTTAAAGTAATATGTTCTAATGAATTAATGATAAAATAATGAGTAAAGGAATTAAAGAAATACTCTACTTAATAAAGAAGAAAAAAAGTATATTATGTTGCCATCATGAATTCGTCTTCATACTTTTAAATATTTAGGACCTTTGAATAAATTAAATAATTACAACTTTACTGAGTCGAATTGACACTTGGACTTGAAGAGATTAAAAAAAATTCAGGATGAACTTGCTAAAAATTTTCCAAGTAGATCAACACATCGCTTGTGTCAGTTACTCTATAATATGATCAGATACAGTGACATTTACACCTGATATTCATTTGGCGATGCAAACAACATGCATATATTTGTTTCAGCTGCATTTAGTGCATATCAAGAATGACCCGTCTCCAGATGAAGTGAACACCATTGCTGTTGTGGCTGCATTTATAAAACTTGATGATCATGCTGAATCATTGCACAATCTTAAACCTTATGTCCATAATATCAAAATGCCGAGTTAGTTACTTCTTTCATAACTTATTCCACTAATTATCTTGAGTGCTTATATATTTTCGGCGCTGATTTTAACTGTTTCAGTACTGATACTGATTATCAGTAAAATCAGGTACTGATTTTCTCCTCAGTTTTCAGATGACACTGTCAAAAATCAGTGGTAAAGAATTTTCAAACTATTGAATTGCAGACACCGAGCTTGTGGTACCTGGTTTTAGTGTCAGCTCATTGCTTCCAGAGCATAGGGAAAATTTCTATAGGTATGAAGGATCACTGACAACGCCTGGTTGTGATGAGGCTGTGGTATGGACATTAATGGCGGATCCTATCGCAGTCACTCCATCACAAGTGAGAATTTCCTCACAAGTTCAGTAATTTTGAAATAAAAGAACTGGTAAACTAATAAGACATGATATGTGCATCTGAAAGGATGTTGAAAAAAGCTGTAGAGAATGAGCACTATGATCTGAAATGAATCGAAGCATTTTTCTTTGTCTGAAAACGACTTCTCTTCCTTCTACCGTTCTCACATTGAAATTAATGACACTGCTAGTATGATAAAAGCATCAGTTTTCCGACTGATCAAGGTAAAATGTCTCCTTTATTCATCAAATTAAAAAATATTTGAAATAGCTTGGGCTCCAAGAGAATTTTTTTTCTGTTTAGTCAATCATTTTATTGTCACCTGACCAAATCTTATTATAGGGAAATAAGTCTTTCTGATATTCTTGGATTAATGCTGGAAAATTAAGCGCTGCAATTTGTATTGTCGCATCACTGAATATTCAATTATCTGTATTCCATAAAGTTGCTTATATTTATAGATTTTTGAGGGAATTACATAAAATTTGAAAATTATGTACTTTTTTTTCTAGATTATTCTAACAAGATTGCCAATCTTTTTTGACTACCAGCTGGGAATTACTTGTATCTCATGAAATAGTAAAATTCCGGAATAAATAAATCATTCGAGAATTTGACACACCCTTTTGTGCTACACTGTGACGAAACGGAAATGTCCTTAAAGGTCACAGTACTTTTAATTAGTGAAACGATATAACTTATAAGTACCCAAAGTATGTCAAAACACTATTATAAGAAAGAATTGTTTATAACACTGCAAACTTTGCGGAAGGTTTTCTCGACGAATCTATTGGTTTTACAGTTTTATTTAATTGATTACTTTATCCCAAGACAAATTTTTTACATTGAAATTGAAAGTATTGCATTACACCACATTTTGAATTCCATTAGACCACAAATACTTCTTGGGACTTGAAGGCCAAAACTCTAGCAAGAACTGTGATAGCAGTAGTAGTAGTAAATAAGTCAATAAGATAATCCCTCTACATGAAAAAAGCAATAAGTGCGAAAAATATGACTTATAATAGTCATATTATCAAGGAGTAGTTTATTTATTCGATGTTATCATGGTAAGTCCTAATTGCTGCATTTTCTTAAGCGATAACTTACAGTTGTATCATTTTACAGATGGGAGCATTTCATCAGGTACATTTTGCATCAGGAAAGACTGGACACAATTGGCGTCCAACACAACCACTCAACGGTCGTAAAATACTATTTCGCCCTTCAATCAATTTAAGAAGTTTTAAAAGTGGTGGTGTTATGTTGAAGCCAGTTTTCCAACCGCTTCTAAGTATTTGGCTGTATGGAATATATCATATTATTTCGTTTTTTTAGTATATTTTCCGAAGTTCCATTGGATTAAAGCCGACCTTTCGTTCCCGTAACTTTTTCATAGTTATTATTGTGTTTAGTTTCCATTTAATATAAGCTTATTCTTTTTCTGTCAACCTGAATCTCATCTACAAATCACCAAAAACACTGACCTTCTTGTTAATATGACCTGTCGCTGTCATCTAATTTCAGTTTCGTAATTATTTCTCATTTATTTGTCCTTGCATTTCATACATTTTTTTTAATGCATAAAAGTCGTATTTTGTTGCATTCTTTACTTTATTTGCAACATCATGAATTGCACTGCATAATGAGTTTGATGACAACAACACAAATGCATGCAACACGCAGATTTAATTATGCGCATATATTCGCTAGTTGTCACTTTGACAATGTGATCCATCGTAACTGCAAGAGTAGTTACTTTAGACTTCGTGATTGATTTGGACAGGAAGGAAATGAAATTTATGTGAAAACTGTTTTAGCAAACTAGCGACATATTACCGACTGCTTTTTATCTGTTCAAAGTTTTGATATGGTCGAAGTGAATCCATCGTATATCGTTCGGGTCAATCTCCCCACGGTAATCTCGTTTGGCCATCATCCGGAGTTCGCGATATGCTGCATATAACTGCAATGTTCCCTTTTCATCTATATATGAAAATAGTAATAAAATGAGGCGCAATTTTAGTGACTTGATTTGGATGTTAAATTTAAAGAGCAAAACGTTATCTTTAGATTTTTTTTTTTTTTGGATAATGTAATGAATCTGTATCATTTCCTTCAAACCTCACCGCAAGATAAGCTTTGCAGAATTGAGGATTGTTCCATTGGTATTCTTCATAATTCTTTTCTAGCTCATCTTTCAACAACTGCAATGTGGCTTCATATCGCAAAATGGATTCTGAAGAAGAAGAGAATTTCTTCCCGACTCTATAATCTTCAGAACTCTCTGTCCACTTTTTTATTTATATTTCAATAAACTATTACTTGTGGAGTGAAAGAGAAATGTTTACTGTAAAATTCATAGAGCTGAGGATCGATAATTTTTTTGAAAATAATATGAATGATGCAGCAAATCAACGCAATCATAACAACTGGACCAGGATATTTGAAAATCACATCCGATAATTTCCGAAACAAAGGATCGCACCATTTGGGAAATATTTGTATAGATGACTCAAAATCCATTTTGTAAAAAAAACTGCCCTCTGGAAGAATATATCACCCCACCATAGTTTGCTCAAAATTCAAAGAACCAATAGAAATCGCTGCAATTGTGATAAAAATCTGATATTTTTACTATAAAACAACCATATCTAAATGCTTACTTTATTTGCAAGATATTATTCAGACAGAGAAATGAAATTTAAGAGAAATGAAGTGGCGGACATTTTGCATATATGCTAATTCCACGTTTACAATTCATAATCTCAATGAACCTAAAATTTAGACCAGATGTGTGAATAAACCAAATTGCATAGTGGTTGAGAATATGGAATACACCGAATATGTTAAAGTTTAATTAGAAGTAATAGATGTATATTCCGAAGTTTTCGTCATCTATTTGAATATAATAGTTTCATTTCGATTTGATAGAACAATGTTTGACTATGGTTACAGACACCTAATAATTAAGCTCTGTTATTTTCCAGAGATTTCACATAAATTTCCTCTCCTTTGGCTTACGTGATTGTGATTAATTTCAGTTTCTCATACAAATGAGCACTTTTACTGGCAGTAATTGAAATACATTAAACTATAATAGTGACTTTTACATTTCATTAAATTATACAAATCTTGTATGCAAAGTAATACTACAATAACAGACACGAAGTTTAATTAAGAAAAGAAGATTTGTACGAATCGATAACACAGATTTAATTGGTGCTAACATTCATGCCTACTTATGTTTAATAAAATCTATCAGATAACTTTTCTATCCGTAAAGGAAGCAGAGATTTTAATTAAAGAATAGATTCATGTTTTAAATTGAAATTTGCCTCTTTCATACCAATGTTTTCTTTAACAATAGCAAGGCAAAAAATTGAGTTCGAATAAGAATTACAACAGAAATAAATGTTTTATGAGGAAATATTGCAACAGCGTCATAGGTTCACATGTGAATTTTATATTTAAAGTAGCCTTACCTGCTGCTAAATTTATGTTTAAATATAGCTGACTGTGATTAATTTCTAATGACAAATCTTAAGCAATAAATAAGAGAATATTTTTTTTTTCCTTTTCGTTAAACAAATTATAATATATTGGTGGAAATCTACAGATAGCACAGCATAATTGAAAGAAAATTAAGAAAACAGCTGGAATTTTAAAAATGCAGAGATATAGAGGAGAAGAAACGACAAATCTCCAATGCTTTATCAAGGGTCATTGATTGATAGCCTCATATTCTCGAGAAAATTGTACATGTGTGTGGTAAATACAATATGCATGGTATAAAGGAAATCTGGAATAAGTAATCTACCAGAGAGATACTTGGATACTATCTGATTGATAAGAAAAAGCTACAAGAAAAAAGATATTTATATTTGAGGCAAAACACACAAGCTCAGTTAATCTTTCAGACATAACAGTGAACTGAACAATAATGATAAAAGATGTACTTTTGAGGACATTTACCAAAAACGCTAGTTACAAGTTAAAAACCGAAGGCCTGAGTTACAGTAATTTTTTTAAAAAGACACAATGTGCTTCATTAAGAATCGTAGTTTTAAAATTTTAACACTTCGCTAAAACTTAAATTTCTCTCATTCCTGCGTGATCTTTATGAACTAATAATGAATAAATAAATGGTTTCTTCCAAACATTTACCGCATGCGCATTAATCCAAAATTGTTCAATGTTGAAGGTAACAAAATGGAATCTGATGGTAACAAAGAATTCCAATTCCTTCGCCGTCCTACAAAAACAGCAGTAAAATTTCAAGTTCAGAAGAAAAAGTTTGGAAAATGAAGAGTGATAAGATTAAAGGAGCCACTTTCTGTCTATCATTTCACTGAATACAGCATTTTAGAATTTGCCTGGTGTCTTTTAAAGGTACAAAATGACTATGTCCACATTAATCAACTCTTTTCTTTCAAATTTTAATTAATATATCGTTAAAGCTATTACTCTGATATTTGCGTTCATAATAGCTCGATGGAGTACAAAGAGCGCAAGAAAATCGACAATTCGCTGCCATATACGCTTTTCGAGAGCCGTAACATTCACCATGTTGTGCCCAAAGATTACAATTTCGATTATTATCAATACAGCTGCGCACTGAAATAACGCAATTGACAGGATGCGCATCTCCTACAAACTTTTCTGCTTTAACCGATCTAAACTTCTTCATTTTTTCTTTCAAGTTTTTAGAGAAAACTGAAAGGAAATAACACTTTTAAAAATTAAATTATAATCTAACCCATACTAATATGATTTTCGTGAAATCTGTATGTTGAAAAAGATCAATTATCAGTTGACCTTCGTTAACTAAACATTAAAAAAATTTGATATTATTCATTATCTTAAAAATTCAAATAAATCAAATGATTCCTTATTTCAGAACTTTAAGTTAATTAACTCGAAATAAACATGATGGACCGAATGCATATATAAAATATTCACCTTGATTAACAGCAGAAAAAAATGGATAACAAGTATTGCAAGTTTTAGGACACCGTTTCATCATGAAATTTCGATGCTTACTGTAGCATCCGACATTTCGAGCCCAATGCTCACAAAATGGCTCAAAGTCTCGACACTCTAAAACTTCATTTCTATTTAAAAAACATAAGCTGAAGAGATAATGTACTTAAATGAAAATGTACTTCCATTCATTCTACTTCTAGCTAAACTTAAGTTATTCAATTCTAAATGTATTGCACTCAGTATTTTCAAGTTATAACGGACAAATCGGAGTAAATGTTTGATAATGGATGAAGAAGATAAAAGACATTTTTTTTTTGAATTTTATCAAGTATTAATTTTTGAGATCAATTTCGACGGATTCAAAAAAGGAATTACCATAATTATATAATTTGCCATTTCCATTTTGCTGATAGTTTTTATGCTTTTGCTGCACACCTATCTTGTTTTGCCATGATTTACGGGACTGTTGTGTTCTTAGTATCGGTGAAGGCAAGAAATTACTTTGCTGTGAATAACGCATGCCGGAGCAGCATGGAGCTGCAGTTTGACGAAATGTTAAGTTCTAATTTTCAGTAAGATAACAGGCCAACAAATACAACCATGCTAAGACGATGAAGTAGAAAGCAACTGTTATGCAGAATATGCGCTCAAAATAAATTGCTACAAATTGGAAGGTGGTTCTGAAATTTCAGAGTAGCCGGAAAGATTTTTAATAAGCTTACGACAGAGGCCTTCTGAAGTACATTCTCCGCCACATCGACAATTAGAACATCGTGGTCCAAAGATATAAGGCCGTTTCCCAAATTGATTGCCACTGCAAAATTATGGCATACACAAATTTCATAAAAATATTTCATTAGCTTGTTTAATAAAGTTTCCAGTTTGACTATTAAACGAAATTCAATAATTAATTTACTAACATAAAATGTATGTACATTAAATCACCGTCCACTCATAACATGCACTGACATTAATAATTTTTATAATTAAGCAGCTTAAATAGGAATTGAATTACTAAAGGATAGCAGACATGTGATCAATAACTTACCCTTCACCATAATTACAGATAATAATGTGTCCTTGATTTATACCTCTTCCATTTTTGATACCGTTGCAATGAACTGCAGCGCAACCCACAGCACATGTTTCACCCCAAACGTACTGCAGAATTTCTTTAGAAATATTCCCGACATTCAAACATTTAAATAAAGTTGCTATAAATTGATAAATTTTATAAAAGTGATCATTTTCCTAAATGTTAATTGTCTAATAGAACTTAGAGCATTTTATTCTGCAAAATGGCACCTTATAAGATAGGTTTATGACAATTACGATATTTTTTGAATATTCCTTTCATATCATTTAAAAATCAGTCTTGTTGCATTAAAATTTTGCTACAAATATAGAATCAAGTGAAAACACTAATCTGATTAGTGGAATCAAACTAAATTGAATTGCGCTGTAAATAATCTGAACAAATAATGTTAAATGAACTGGGACCAAAAGATAGCTTTAAAATAAGATATTCTGCACAAGCTGGTGAGTAAACATCATTGGTGAATTTATCTATCGCGAAGTAAGTCATTTCAAAAAGTGCAGTTATCATTCTTTTGCATCTTTTTAAGAAGCTTGAAATTTTCAAAGTGTCTAAACAGTAGTGAGAATTGCAAGTAACTTTTTTTGTGTTAAAAACAGATAAGGTAAAAAAATGACACGATGTAAGAAAATTTCTTTCGTATTTTTGAAAGATATATTTTTGAGATTGAAATGAATAACACTCTGAACCATATGATAAACAGTGTATTTAATTAGAATTTTTTTCTTTGGTTTGAATTTAAATGACATATTCTAAGGAGAAAATTAAATAAATTTGAAAAAATTAAATAATAATATTAAAGCTATGAATGCATATGAAGAATTTTTTCCAGGAACTGACAAAATAAATGAACAAAACAATATTTTATTAAAGGAAACTGCTGCTTTCATGTGTTTCTCCGGGAATAAAGATATGAGACTTAATCATATCACCACATTGTTGACGTTAATTGTTAAATTAAAACCTGTGTATAATGTCCACACTGAGCACCTTTCATACATTTATTTGTATTGTAATCATAATATGGTCTTTCATTGAAGAAATCTAACATTGCTGACTGCAGATTGGACCGTAGATAAGCTTCATTACTCCACCAAATATTTTCACCAATATAGGAATAACCATGACCTTGTCGTTCGTAAGCTAAAATCAAACTCGCTTCAATTGATAGTCCAATGCAGTTACGCTTTTTAAGTGTAGAAATTATTGTTGCACCTCCAATTTTTCGAAAGACTGACCGCTACGATGCCAAGCATCACATCGTTTAGCGTGACCGTACGCCAGGTCAGCGAGCTGTTGATCCCAAACTAATTCCTGCATGTTTGATGCTGGTTCCCGAGCCCGTAACTGATTGTGAACTGCGATTATTTGCCTCCTTTGTTCCTCATTGAAATGGTATATTCCATAGATCATTTGAGCTGAAAATTCTCTGTACCCAACTTCAATTCACCTACTACAACCCAACAAGCTCTATTTGATGCTTTTGATTTTAAAAATAAATGTAATAACAAACTACAGCTCTACAGCTCTTCCTTTTAATTTTCGATGGCTTATTGGTCACTGTCAAAAACTCTGCCACTTTTTATTTCTCAAATAATCTTAAATCAACTCACATGCAACAATGCCAACATAATAACAAATAAATACAACAGAGAAATGGAATAGCATCGTCCAGATTTTTCTGCAGCCTAAATTTATTAAGATTAAACCTTTTTGTGCTCAACTGCTTATTTTTCAATTAATAATTGGTAAACCATTTGAAACTGAACCATTTATGAGATGTGTAAATTAAGCAAACGTGGATTAATTTAAATTTAATGCGGCTTCCGTTTTTTTTTTTTTTTTTTCTAACAAAAATGTTCATAGCAAGAAATATAAATGCATGAGTTGGGGAAAATAAAATTAAAAAGTTTGTTCAAAAGTCTTATCTATCAAGTTAATGTATGACATAATGACCAAGTTATACGAGCAAATTAAAGAGATGAAAGTAAATTAAAAATGGTAAATACCATAAAAATGAGCAGAAAGTTAACAGTGAAGTTAATAAAATGATAATGGTAACTTTATGCGGTAAAAAAAAATAAGAAAATTGAAGCAGTAGTGAAAAAAGTTGGAAATGACGCGAAATTTTTTAAAAATATTTCCAAGTTTCAAAGTTTTTCATCATTACTTCATTTTAGTTAGTAATATTACCATTAGTACTTATTTAACTACCATCTTCAGTGTTATAAAGTGAATAATTTGTATATTAATTATGCAAGAATTTGTTTCTCCTGTTTATACTTTTCCAAGTTGTGTAAATTCTGTTCGAGGTGGTAGGTTCAAGGAAGGTCTTGCTTTGGAAGCCAACAAAAGATCAAGCATTACGCTTTGTTCTTCTGCATTTGAAAAATTTATTTTTATACCACATTAAAAAATGAACAAATAAAGTAAGAAATGACAAATTTCAAACTTTTACCACTATCTTGAAAGTACAAATTTAGGCCATTTATCAAAATGATCTTACCATTTGCAGCTACGCCATTGGCGCTGCTTGAAGTGAAACACCTGGTTGTGTTTTTTTTACAAATCGACTCTTTCTAAGCAAAATAATTTATGAGCTCTAACTGACTATAGTACTAGTTACCTGTTTTTTGAACTTTCTTTACACAGCACCTTTTTACTAAACTCTTTAAATTTTGCATGCATATTTTAATGCTCATTAATCAATCTTGGAAGATCTGAACATGGACGATCAATATTAAATACTGTTTAACTGGTTTAACATAGAACAAAAGAATTATTCTTGAATAGATCACCGGAAATGTAATCACAACTTAAGATTAAGTGCACTAATTAGAACCACACTAATTATCGAAAAAGTATATTTGACGGCTAATTCATGGAATTATGGATACATGTTTATTTCTATAAACAAAAACGAGGAAAACAAATTCTCTTATGACTTCAAAGTTCACATTAAAACATATATTTCACACTTTTCTATATTATATTTTCAGCTTAAAAGAAGAGAAATTTAATAATAAAAGTGTAATAAATTGCTTTAATTGAGGAGGAAATTTATAATAGAAATTTGATCATTATTAAAAAGTAATCTTGTATGCTGTCATTTTGAATGATTGTTCCGCTGGTAAAGGAACACTAAATTACAAATAAATTTATAATGCGGAATGCAGAATTAATGCGAAACTAATGTTTGCAAAGAATTATGCATGAGTGAATGTAAACCGATTATGTTAGGAATGTATAAAGGAAACTCAGATTAATCAGAGCAAGTTTTGGAACGATTGTAAATTCCGGTATATCCGACATATAAGTTCTAGTTCTTCTATGCATATAGCTTTTAGTCATATAATTGATCTAAATTAGCCAAGTTCATTTCTCGAACAAGTTACCGGTCCTCTTCCAGTTTAACTTAATCTTTAGTTATTGGTATAACTATTACTTAGCAGTACAAGTCCTAATTAGTCGTATTTTCTATTCTAATGTTGTCTCAAATGATTCAGAATTCGAAAGAATTTCATGATTGAAGGAAGAGTGTATTTAAGTGAAAAGTTTATCTAATAAACTAAAATTGAAGACAAACTAGTGATAACTAATTAGCTAACTAGTACATATGCATAAAACTTTAAGCTATCTTCGAGATTTCCAAACATGTGACAACAAATTAGTGATAAAACAAAAACTGGTCAGTGAGTAAGGAAGAAATTCTTAAATTCCATAACTTCTCGACAAGAAAAAAGTTTAATAGATGCTTAGGTAACTCTTTTTGAACTAACAACTAAAAGAGCTATGCAATTAAGTTTTTATACTCAGCAAGTGTGTTAAAAGACGAAATTAATCCACTCGAAGTGTTGACCAGCTTAATGGCCCCCTTCAAAAAGCTCCAATCTTCAAGCTTTCCAAATTATTCAAAAAGTAGCCAAAAGCATTATTATTTATAACCTGCAATTTGACATAATTACTTTCTTACATTGATTCTTCACATAAACAATAAAAATTAAATTTATTTAATTGTTCATAACTCTCTTCTAAAGTAATTTATCACCTTATTCGTTCAAATTCAAATCAATTTTCTTGCTACTGTTCTTTACGTTTATAACTGAAAAGTAAAGAATTTGCTTCATTGAGAAGTTCTATCTTTGATGCAATCTTGCATACTGAGATTGAACAACTGGCCATTACATTGATTGACTGTCAAACCAGAAAAGTGATCAATTGTTCATTTTTAATTTTAATTCATTACTTTATCTTAATAAAACCTTCTTCTAATTGTAATCAATGAGATTGCTATGATTGCAAAAATTTTGATCTTTTTCCAACTGTCAGTTCAGTTATAGGTATAACTATTACTTAGGAGTACAATCCCCAATTAGCGTGTTGTTCATTTTAATGTTATCTCAAATAATTAAGAATTCGAAAGAATTTCATAACTGAAGAAAATTAATTGAAGGGAAGTGTATTTAAGTTAAAAATTTATTTTAAAAATTAAAATTAAGAACAAACTAATAATAGCCAACTAATATATATGCGTAAAGCTATCTTCGAGATTTCCAATATATGACAACAAATTAGTAACGAAACAAAAGTAAGCAATATTCGGTTTCAAACAGTAAACAATATTTTTTACAAATAAAGATATTTGGAAGCAAAGAATGCAGAGACGAAGAATTATATATGTATTTCATACTAACAGATAACCTATGGAGCATTATGACAAACCGGATGGATCTATTCGAGAATGTAATCCCATCGTGTACAGAGGAGATTGATATGAACGATTTTCTAATCCGAGATTTTCTAATTATTTCATATCTGCTTGACCTTTATAAAATTGTTGACCATTGGTCAGCAAAATCACTCTCACAGAACAATTTTTCTGATAGCTTAAACTTTTCAGAGAAGAGCATAAATGTCATTTGTAACATTTTATATGAACGAATAACTGTCAGAGCAGCAAAGCGAGACAAACAAATTTCCCTTTTCGCAAACGTTTTTTTTTGTTGTATGTCTCTCTACCAAAAAACATGTAGTAACGGAAGTTTTTCGACCTCAAATGGGTCCAATAATCAACCAATCCGATTACCCACCAAAATTAAGGCAGAAAAGGAAATGGTCAGGAAATCTTTGTGATAGTGTCTGATAAGAACTTTGATTATAAAGACCTCTAGTAGTAAAGCAAGAGATCAGCTCACTTAACTATCATTTGTTGAAAACACAACAAGATCATGTTTAAAGAGTGGGAAGAAGAATGAAATGAACCATTTACTTAAAATTTTTAAAAGTTTCGGAAAAGAGTTTTTCCTCAAGTTTTCACACTATCTGTTGTCGCATTTACTATTTGCTACAGTTCTAAAAGAAAAATCTTACTGAAATTATCACCACTTCCATATTGAAGGCTTTTGTTAATAATAAACCAAAGAAAAGTAGTGAAATATACATATTAAAACGCAGCTGTCCATGAGTGTTGTACGTACATATCAGACTTGTGTGTCAGTTAACCGAATAACGCATGGATGATCAATTGCAAATAAACATAACGCTTATCAATAAATTGTTAATCTAACAAAGCACCTTCAAAAATATTATCCTAAAAAAGGAAGACTACATGAAATGACCAATCAATAACTTGTAACGTGATATGTGAATTCCATTCACGTGGTTCATGAATTTTGTGATTTGTATTTTAAATGAGTACTTGTTGGGATTTCATTTTATTTTCAAAGTGCATCCTAACTTTTTGTCACAATACTGTACTTTAAAATTTTTGCTTGCTGCTGAAAAATTGATGAGCTGTCAGCAATGTTATTTACTAGAAAAAATATACCTTAATCATTTTATTATAACAATTAGTAAATTAATGTTCTTTTTTCCTTTAATAGTAGCAATAAATCTTTAAACCATTTAAGAAAGTGAGCAAATTGCAAATTGTTTTGCAAATACAATATTTTGCAGTTCGTTTTGCCGACTATCATCTTGCAAGAAAACTCTTAAAATTCGATTTTCATAACGAAGAACTTATCTGAAAGTTTGTTACTTGAATGGAATAACATAATTTCAATTACAGAAATTAATAAATAACATATTTAAATCGCTTCATTGGAAATTTTAAATGCCCAGATCTTCACTTCAAAAAATATGATATTTGGATTCATCTAATAGAAAAAGCCTTCCACACATGAATAGGTCAAGTTGTCAGCTTTCCAAGACTTAATAAGTTTGATTATATTTAACTGCACTTGTGTAAACAAGTTAGCTGAAAAGGGATCCGGTTGTGCATTCAGTTATGACCAATTTGATCCATTCATGTCACCCAGCAGAATATTTCATTCACCAACACTCGACCCGAGGAATAACTCGAATTACCACTATGTGCACTCAAGATTTTGATCCATTTCCTGTATCAGAAATAT